CCTTCTTTCTGCTCCTTTCAGCTTATTTATGCAAGTTTAAGCCTTTTCTGTTATTTTAGCTACAGTTGTCTTATGCTAATTTTATCTTTTTCAGCAAATTCCACATTCTTATTTGCACTCATTTCAACTTTTTCAGCCCAATTCAGCAAAAATGTGCGCTCTCTATCTCCTCCTGGTAAATTTTTTTTTGTTGTTGTTGCTTATTTCCGCTTTTTTTTCATAAAATGTCTATTTCTTTGTGCTCATTTTTGCTTCTTTCAGCCTGATTGTGCAAACGTGTTCTTTCTACTTTCTTCTGCAAATGTAAGCTTGTTGCACCTTTTCAGATACCTTTTTAGCTAATTTCAGATATATTCAAGTTTTCTGTGCTCATTTCAGCTACAGTCAGCCAAATTAACTACTTTATGCTAATTTCAGCTTGTTATGCACCTTTCAGCTTTTATCTGCTATTTTCAGCTTTTTCTGCTCTTTAAGTTACTATTTTGATGCTAACTTTAGCTTTTTCAGCTAATTCCACATTTCTTTAGTTCATTTCAGTTCTCTCCACTTCCTGCTGGTAACTTAAGCTTCCTTCTGCCCTTTCAGCTACTTTTCAGCTATTTCTAGCTAATTTCAGCCCTTTTTTTTACCTTATTTCCCAACTTTTTGTGATCATTTCAGCTTATTTAAACCTAATTCAGCAAATGTGTGCTCTTTCTGCTTTCTTCTGCTAATTTAGGCTTGTTCTTCTATTTCAGCTACATTTCAGCATGTTTTTAGATAATTTCAGCTTTTTTTTCAGCAATAAGCATCAACACTGCATTTCCACAGGAAATACAATTTCCTCTAGTTGTGATTTGTTTCAGAGGAAAATCAAAAGGTTAGCTTCTGTTCTTTTAATGTTTTTGCATTAAATGTAATCAGTCTCGCCTTTTAAAGTTCTTGCTTTCTATTTGGAAAAGGTTTAAAATATGATTTTTGGCTCTACAGCTAAATCTTTAATTCATGAGTTTGCTGAAAAAAAAGTTTAAATGTTGTCAGCCTTAAATCTTCCATTAACTTTGCTTTTGAACTGTTGCAGAAGACGAGGCTAAAACTGGAAATTGGACATTTCTGTAATTTAATGCTAGTTACTGCGACAGGCCGCTAACTCTATGCCTGTTTTTTTGTGTGTTGTTTGCTTCTATCTTGTGGGTTTATTGTTTTTAACTCTGTACAGCACTTTGAGCTGCTTTTAGTATGAAGGGTGCTTTATAAATAAAATTGATTGATTGATTGCTCCTCCCATTTTTGATGCAGTTTTATTCTCTTTTGAATTATTTCCTGCCTCAAATATTCTCTGTATGGACATAAAATGATAGCAACACCATAACCTTAAATATAAACAGTATTACGTTTCAGAATAGAGTTCAAATCTTGCTTCTAACCTACAAAGCCCTCAACAACCTAGGTCCATCTTATATTAAAGAGCTTATTGTTCCATATTTTCGTAACAGAGCACTTTGCTCTGAGACTGCAGGCTTACTTGTGGTTCCTAGAGTTTCCAAAAGCAGAGTGGGAGGAAGATAATTCAATTATCAGGCTCCTCTCTTGTGGAACCAACTTCCAGTTTCTGTCCATGAGGCTGACACATTGTCCAGTTTAAGACTGGGCTTAAGACTTTCCTTTTTGATAAATCCTATAGTTAGGGTTGACTTGTTATGCTGCTATAGGCTTAGACTACTAGAGGACAAATTGACCTAATTTCTTAAAATTAATTGTTAAAATTGAATCGTTTTCATTTGAGACTATTTCTATCTTAAAATGTGATTCTTGACCTGCCATTGTGTATCTGTTCCTACAAACCCTGGCGGTCGAAGCAGATGGCTGATTATTCTGGTTCTGCTAAAGGTTCCTTCCTCATGAGGGAGTTTTTCCTTTCCACTGTCGCCTTCATGCTTGCTCAGGATGAGAGTCTGTGATGAAGTTAAACTCAAAGCAGTCTGCTCCTCATTTAAATAACATTAGTAACTTACTTTATATGAACGTTCTTGCTCAGTGCCCTGAGACGACTTCTGTTGTGACTTGGTGCTATAGAAATAAACTGAACTGAATTAAATTTCAGTTCAGTTAAGTCATAATTCAAGGCCTTAGAATACCAGAAGTAGTCCTGAATGAGCTGAAACTGACAACTATTTTAGGTGTATTTGAGAATAGGCTGAATTGTAAGGACAGTAGAAACATTTACATGCGAACGCCGCGTTCAGATAGACTTGAAATAAACAAACCCGTCCATTAACATCAATCCTTCCACCGTAAAATCCCTAACAGTGTGCTGTGTGTCTTCTAAAGCCTTCATAGTGCACCGTTGTCTGAACTGACCGCCCTGCAGTGCACCTGACAGGCTGCAGAGCTCCTTAAGGACTGGGGTGTTGTCTGAGAATGGCACCAGAGGAACCGAGAGGCGGGGACAGAGAGGTAGAGAAAGAGACGGGTAGAGAGAGAGAGAGATGGGCAGAGAGGCGTGTGGAGGGTTACTGCTTCTGTTTGGATGGAAACCGAAGACAAATGTGGGACAGATGGTTCCACTTCCACAGCTTGTGGAGGAGCGGTTGTGGACGTCTGGTCTATATACAGAAAGAAGAGGATGCATAATCAGAATATCCAACCTAATCAAAGCCGGGGCTGCCGTGCCGGATCCTCCATTGCTGCCGGTTGCCATGGTAACAGCGGTGGGGGAGACCGAGTGATGGAAGAAAAGGGTGGGGAGGCAGCGGCAGCTCTGGTTCACTAAACACCCCCCCCCCCCCCCCCAGCCCAAAACAAGCAAATAATTTAAAAATAAAATAAAAAGGGCGTCACCGCAAACACGGGTCACCATGGCTACGCTACACCAGGACACCACACCTGTCCGTGGAAAACACACACACACAGGACAGTGTCACAATCACACACACACACACATTCTCTCTCCTTCACACACACACAAATATTAATATGACAGTTCCTCTCATTTCTTCACTACTGAAGTGAAAACCAGAATCTAGTCTTTGTCTTCATCGTAGCAGTGGTGTGTGCACGGAGTGTGCACGTGTGCGTCCTCAGTCTTTACACACACCCGAGGCTTAGTTCTGATTGGCCAATGGGTCTACACACCTCTTCCCTTTAGGAGGCTTTTATTTTTTTTAACAACTGTCTCTGGTTGCTAGGCAACGGCAGCTTCCTACAGGCCCACTCAGTTGGGACCGGAGCGTGGTTACGCTTGCGATGACGTCATGTGACCTCCCTCCACCGATCTGAGAAGGGCGGTCTGTGAAGTCGTCGTGTTGTGTGATTGGCCGCGTTGAAGTCGAACGGCAGCATCTGATTGGACGAGGCGAGGGCAGAGGAGTGCTGCTTTGTTTTTTGCAAAAGTTTTGAAGCACCAGGAAGGAGGAAGGGGTTTAACAGTACCTGCTGCTGGGAGTGTGTGTGTGTGTGTTTGTGTTTGGAAACATTCTGTCATTAATGTGAAGCTTGAAGGATGGAGATATTGACCTGTTCGGGTCCAAACTGAACCACGTCTTATGGTCCTGTTCGGTTAAAACTCGTTCCAAGATAAACATTAACGATGTTCCTATGGTGGCTCAGAAGGGACAAACCAAACCTTAGATCTAGAGTAAACATTGTATTTTGCAGTCAGTTTTACAGCAATAACTAATTAAACGTAATGTGACAAATATTTTAACTTTACATCTTCTTGCTTTATAAATCTGCTCTATCGTGTATGGCAGTGAAATGGACATTTTGGGCAAATAATGAAACAAACACTATTATTGACACGTCATCAATATCAACTGATAAAATGCTGTAAAATAAACTACAGGCTTCAGACCTGATTATATTGATCCTGGTTTACACTTTGTTAAAGTTGGATGATATTTAAAGTTTTATGCAAAATGTATAAAATTCACATTTAAGATGAAATTCGTGTTTTTCCAGCTGACTCTAACTTTGGTCCATCACAACACGAGTATAAACATGACCGCAATCCACCTGAAGAGGAGGTTTCATTCTTCATATATCTCCACTGATGATCAGTTATCGATCAAAACTGATCTCATCCTGACCAGCACTTGTTACTAGCCTGAGTGGATTTTTTTCCCGCATCAAATTGTTTCTTATAGATTACAGTGGTTCCCAACAATGTTCCTTGAGGAACACCATCCTGCATGTTTTATTTGTTTCTCTGCTTCAACACACCTGATTCACTGATTTACTTACTTCATGTTCTGCAGAAGCCTGCAAATCACCCATTCATTTAAATCAGGCGTGTCTTAGCAGGAAACCACTAAAACATGCAGAATGGTGTTCCTCAAGGACCAGGGTTGGGAACCCCTGGGTTAGTAAACAATTGACTCAAATATTTTTCTTTTACATATAAAAAATAATGCACTGTTTATGGTTAACGCTGTATTAATATAAAAAAAAGCTTAATCAATATTCGTTTTTATCAAAATAGGCCCAGAAGTGTTCAAACAAAAACATCCGAAAGTATGGAAAGCCATTATGGTCGTTATTATTAATATTTTTTGTTGTATTTTTTACAAATAAGTACTTATTAGTTAACAAATGGAAGCTTATTCATGACTTCTTGCCACAACATTTGCAGCAGATGAGCTCAGCTGAATTGAAGCTGCAAATATTCAATCACTTGTTTTAGAGACGCACGATATTATCGGTATCGGCCAAACAAATTTTAACGTATCGGATGTCGGCCAAAAATCCAATATTGCGCATCTCTAATTTGTTTTATAAAATCGCCTTTTTGTGACTGATCTGTGAAAAACATCGTGATTTCCTACAACACTTTAATGCCACTCCAAAATAACTAAGGCACACGTTAGTTTGATTAAATAAATAAATAAAAATAAAGCAAGCGTTTCAGTTTGTTAACCTGCATTTTCATGCAGGAAATATCGTTTAACTGTAAAACTTAGTCCTGAATAAGGAGTAAAATCAAAGAAACCTTTGGAATCTCAATGCTGAATGATTCTGAGTGGGTTTTTAATGGTTTGACAGCATTTTAGACTATAAATAAAAAAGATTTGATGGTAAACAGGACCACGGTGTAGAACAGGTCGACATCACCATATTTATGATCCCCGCTAAGTTTCTCGTGTTTGTGACCCTGTTAGTTTGTAGTACTGAAGTGTGTGTGATTGTAAACCAGATTGTGGCGCTGCATTCAGTCTCTGTGTGTGTGTCAGTGTGTTTTGAGCACGCTCCGTGGCACCCATCCCTCGGCAGCAGGCGACTCGCTGTGGGCGGGTCGGTAAACCAGACACTGACCCTGCTGGTTGGATGACAAAATCTGGACTTTTTCTCCTCGGAACACCGAGATCTCATCTTCCCGGACAGCCACAAAATCCTGCAGCACCAAAACCAGCTCCT